CAAAACGTGTTCTAAAATCAAGATCTAGTAAATAAAAGGTGCCTACAGATTTATCAAACTTGAGAAATAAATTCCTTTATTGATGTTTTACAACTTAAGCTTCGTAATCGGGGTATAATTTGTATGTAAACAAGATGAAAACAATATTTTAAACTGTCATTTTCAATGAAAAATTAAGAACACCAATCATGAATATGGGAGTTTTTTTTCATATTCGACAAAGGAAATGTATCCAGATTGCCTACAGTCTCTCAGAAAACAGTAATTAGTATGTTCTTGGCCTCTTCTTTAACTCTTTACAACTTACTGAACTGTTATGTAATATACACTTAATGTTCACGTCATATAGATAGAAATTTAACATTTCCCCCAAGCACCTTATAGTGTGGTACACGTTTCTCTAACATTTAGTATAAATAATATTATTACGTAATATTTTAATACAAATATAACTTTTTCTTATTTTATGATATTTTTGCAAGCATAAAATTGAAGAAAATTTGCATTAAATTTAAGATTGAATAAACTTTTTAAAGTGCGTGAAAATGCGTGATTGAGGGGAAACGGTATATGCGTGATTGTGCGTTAGAAATAGGAAATGGTATATGCGTTAAAACGCGTTACTGTGGGGAAGGGGGTTAAATCAATATCAAATTTAATATAGGTACCCGGTTTACTTTTCATATAAATTCAAATTGAATGTCATGAAAATACCATATTTTCTACATAATTCTGCTAAAGCTGTTAAGTACGGGAAAAAAAATTGAAGATGACTTTGACGTCATAATGGATCTTGCATCAAAAAGTTGGTCTATAGTTTTTACGGGATCTTGACCTTAAAAACAATTGCATTATAATTGTAAAACGAACCTCTAATGATAAAACGCTGCTTTATGATGCATATATCAGTCAATCATTTCATCAATATATGTTCATATAAAATTTCACTGACCACTTTATCTTGTTATTTTTTGGCAGATCGACGGTGTCCACACTGCAGTTGTTTGAAAAAACATTTTTCCTTTGAATGGAAACCGTTTTTGTCAATCCAATGAAATGAAAAAGTATCAAAAAAATATCGACGGGTTAAGATTGACCATATTGTGGCGATTATTTTTAAATCTATCGTGCAAGTAAAATGATTAAAAGTAGTTTAAATATTCTTAAAAATTACTCCGACATATATTGTACCGTAAAACGGTTTATATAGAATAAGGCAAATAAATCTCATTTATATTATTTATATTATTCGGGTATATAGTTAATTACTAAATGTTTGTATCGTCAATTTGCAGGTAGGTTAAGGTTACAACCAAATATTCTACTTGCTTATATGATATGACGTCATACTAAGCTATATGACGTGAAGTTTAGAGATACTAATTTCTTAAAATCGATATCTAAGATCGATTTGAGGTCGTAAGAATGAATCAAAATATGCAGAGGCATAATATAACATAATATAAACGGAAGTTTGTCGTCCCTGGACCTCTGTAGTTATCACAGGGGTTACATACCAAACACATGACGTCATAACTGTTGATCATGCAGTAGCAGAGTGAAAGTGAAACGTAACGAGAATTGATGTAAACAAACCAGGGATGGGGTCAATTACATAGGAAAGTAATTAATTAAATTACAATTACTTTCCCAAAATCTTCAATTAAATTACCATTACCATTACACGGATTTTGAAATGTAATTAATTACATTACAAATTCTTTGCAAATGTAATTAATTAGATTACAAATTACATTCAAGAATACAAGTTAAAAAAGTAAATAGTCATGTATATTTGTTTATATATATAACATTTTATTTTACAACACTTTTTACAATAATATAATTAAAAGCTTCATACATTTTACTGTGTCTACTAACCTAATATACATGTATCTTCGATTAATTTAAAAATTTTCCTGCCATGCTGAAGATTCTTTCAACTGGGGAATTTGTGAGAAAAATGCATACATGTAGAAAGTTTACAGATGGTTTTACCATAATTCACGTGTTTAAATTTTGGAATCATTTTTAAGCTTTCCCATAAACAAGTGATAAATTTATACTAAATGTACTTTTGATGCTTTATTTTGCCTTTATATTTCCTTATTTCAGCATCATAGGTTTACCTCAAAATGTGGATATTTGACTTATTATGTGCCAAACTACAATTTAAAGTCAACGAGTATATATAAAACACCAACAGACAAAGTCAAAGGTGTGAACAATGCTTATGTAGGAATAGGTATTTGCTTCAAAACACTAATTAGCACCTGTTAATAGCTTCAAACACAAGCTGAAGATATGGCCAACCAAAGGATTAGAAGTCATTGGACTTCTTATTTTCATATGGATTAAAAATCAAAATATCAATTTTATTTGTAATCTTTACAAAGATTAATTTGATTTAAAAGTTTTTTTAAATGAAGTGGGGCATTGTATTCAAACAAAAATTGACTTAAAAAGGGAAGTTCTTTAAAATGGGAAGTTTTTTTTTTCAAGAAATATTACTATTAAAATATTTGGTCCAAAATATAAATTATTAACCTGTCATAAATAATGTGTATGAAATTAAGTTAGAGGAGACTATTTTTCATTTATTTAAAATCAGTGTAATTGAATGTAATTGAAAAATAATTGTGAATTACATGCCTTTTTGGAAAGTAATTAATTAAATTACCATTTCTTGTAATTGATTTCAGAGGTATTAAAATCATTTAAAAAAGTAAAACGATAACACTATGGATTTGTGCTTTATGACAACGGAAGGTATTATATCTTAAAAAGGGTAGTGTAAGTTCAGTAGTTCGATAATCTCTGAATTGTCCATATTTTTTGGTGGGATTAATAATATTACAAGTGAAATTTCTAACCTAAGTATCTCGTTGCAGATAGCTATGCAAGTAGCATAATCTTGTTTTAAGTTTCATTATTCTATTGAATCAATAATTTTGCAGTTAGGGTATTTCTTGACAGTTGTTAAGTCTGCAAATTATTATCTTTGAATTTTGAAAATTTTGAAGATTTTCAAAAATGAAGTTCTGTTATGAAAAGTTCATCAATTTGAAAGAGAAGCTTAATGTAATTGAACGTATATTGTATAAGGAGATTGTTACAAAGTTATAGAGTTTATATTTGCGAAAAACACCGAGTTTTAAACATCAAGATAATTAATTTAAAGAATGTGTACCTTTAACATGCGATAACAAATACATGATAGGGCCACTTCTCGTATTAAGGGTGGGTAATGTTTATATTTTATCGCAAAAAGAATTTGACCTTAATTTCTACAAAAGCCACATGAGCTTAGAAAGTGCGCGGAGCTGTATATTGTGTCTCTTTCCTTACCCTTGGTTACTCGATTTCAACAAATTGGTGTCTTGTATACACCATCCGTGAATGCTTTTACGTCTAAATTGTGGTTTTTCACATATTTTATCGTATCAACTTTCGTTAAATTTGTCCCTTTGGTTCTTCATAAGAAAAAGAAAATGTGAAAAGTTAACCGACGAATGGACGGACCAGAGCTCAGGTTAACCTTAAAATTCTGAAATGGCAAGTTCTATCGATGTCGTTAATAGCACTTAGTTCCACTGAGCTTTTTTGTTCATGCAAAGCATCCCTTCTTAACAAATAAAAGGATAAAAATGATTGTCTTATTTATAACTTTTCATTCAAAATACGTTGACTAACTTTGTTTTCAAGGGTATTAAAAATCATGTGTATAGAAAAATAAAACGACCAAGTTATAGATCTTTTCTTCATGTCACCATTTTTGATTTCGTAAAAAATGGGAATTGTAAATGTGATATTAGCCTTTAATTTTCAATTAAATCTTTTACAATTTGAAAAATGTAATAAAAACATTTGAAGGAGAAAAATCACATCATTTATCAAGAATTTGACAAACATATCATATCAATAATATGTTGGTTATATTAATATCAGAACTTTGTATATTTCAAGAAAAAAACAGAAAAATTGTATTAAAAATCAAAAATTGATCACCTGAATAAAAACATAGTCGTCAAAGTATGAGCGCATTTCCTGAAGCCATCACGTCTTACTAGTTTTATAAAATAAAATAAATAATTAAAATTTTCGATTTCCATTATAAGGTACCCTCATTCACTGTGACTCGTGAAGAGGTGCCGATCTTCTGAACTCTCTCTTGGCTTGTGGAGGTACCGGGATGTTTCAATTCAGCTATTTCTTTTACTGTGAAATCACAAATTTTCGTGGGGGTTAAATTTCGTTGTTTTCGTGGTGTGACGAGACCCACGAATTCATGTCCACCACGAAATGTAAATTTTCATATGCACAACAATAAAAATTTGCCCCCACGAACCAACATTTTTTTTCGAAAATTTGACCCCACGAAAATATGTGATTTTATAGTATTATAAATTCCTTTTAAAAATGCGGCCGCCATGGTTGGGGAGTAAAAACTTATGAAATGCAACCAAGACAGAAAAAGCTTTCACTCTTTATTAAATTATAAAATCTAATTGTAATCATTATGATTACAATAAATAATTTCTCACAATATTCAAGATATTATACTAAATATCATTAGTTCTAATATAAAAAAAATGTTATCTGTAAATCAATTAAGCCATGTGAAAATTTTAATAATTTAACAAAAACCGCGCAAGTTTAGAAATTTATCTCACCTGTATGAAATCAAGAATCATCAGCTTTCCACTGAAATCTTGTATCATATACTAGGTTAACGTTTGTAGATTTCCATCTCCATATTTGTAACTCGTTCGAAATTTGCAATAATTACTTTTTATTATGATCTGAATTTTAAAAATTGAACTTGAATGCCTTTTAAACTTTTAATGCACTTTTAAAATAATTGCAGATCTTTTGCATAATCTTTTAATATTGTTTTCCGTTGTTAATTTATCCAAATATTTGACCTCTGGTCACTTCAATCTAATTGCTTCTTCCTCCTAACCAAATACATCTTCTGATTAACAAAAAAATGCATTCCAATGATTCATTTCTTGGAACCGGCCAGGTCAAAGTTCAATTCTTATTTGTTTACTTATTTAACTGATTCTATATGATCGCGCCCACGTGTGCTATCTCCGCCAAGTTAGTTACGCTGAGCTGACCAGTACAAATTCATCCCATGTGCTATCTTTTTATTTTTAGTGCAATTTTTGTTATGATACTAGAATGTCGACAGTCCGTATTAAAATTTTATTGGGAGTTTTTGCTATTTGTAGGGGTAAAACATGTTTTTCCTTGTTTTCAATAAAAATGTTAGATAAATCTACTGATAATACTCTTCAGCAGTTCCACACCGTTTGAGATCTTTTCTTCCACAAAAATGACATCTTCAATTTTCATTACGTTCAAGTTCGTTTAGCTCAATGTTTAACAAATCAATCTCTTTACGAATAGCTGTCCATTCAGAAAAATTATTTGTTAAAGCACTTTGTAGTTCCAAGTCTTTTAATTTTTGCCTCATAGCTATTGCAGCTTTGTTTCTCCTTAACAAATGTTCAGTTTTCAAGTTACTCTCTTCTGATTTTAATAATTTTGGAGATTTTCCGAAATGTTCTGCTTTAAAAAGTTCACCAGGCTGAAAGTCACTAAGCTTGTAATTTACCATGGACGGAAAGCCTTGCATATGTCGTAAAGTATCATAATCTATATTTGTAAAAAATGTTATTCCAGGATTTGCCCTCATGTTACTGGTAATGTTTTCGTCGATTTTCCCAAGTGTTTCAATTCTTCTTTCAATTTCATTTTCCGTTTCTTCAATTGATTTCAAGGCCTTCTTTTCTTCTTCTTGTAAATTCCGTATAGCGTTCTCTTTCACTTTTTTGACTTGATTCATGATCAATTTTGTGTGATCTTCAATTTGTTTCTTAACTTCATCGGTTCTCTTTGATATCTCTGATTTCTTTATCTTTTCTTTAGATAACATTTCTCTATATTTTGGTAAAATCACCCCCTCTATTTCCTCCTTTTCATCTTTTAAATTACTTATGATTTTTTGGTAAATTGCGGCCAGATCATCCAATTTATGTCCATTATGGAATTCTATGAGACATTTAGAACACACCGGCTCCTTGCAGGGTGAACAGTACCACTCTAACTTGTTAACTGTATGTTTCCCACAGTAAAGTAGGCCCATGGTTCCCTCCTTATTTTTATGCAAATGTATAATTTCGTGATTTTTGGTTATTTTCTTCGTCTCGTGATCTGTTTTGCAGGTCTCACAAAGATGACCAGGGCATGTTTTACAAAGGAACTGGGCAGGATTTTCCTCACAGTTTTCGCATTCAAGAAAATGTTGAGCAAATGATTTAGCCATTCCGAGGTTTAATCTACAAAGTTTGTGAATAAATTATACTTTTTTCGAAATGACATTTAATACAATATGCAGACATTATATTTTTTGAAGAAGAAATGCTAAAGTTATACTATATGTCGATATATTGGGTATAAAAGCAACAAATTGAAAAAGTCTCAAATCATATACTTCTTGAAAAATTCTGACATAAAATTGGTTAGAATTTTATAGATACTTCTCTGAAATAAAGAAATTAACGCAGTAAGTATAGGCAATGCTCTTCATTACAATGAGATCATGTTTTGTATTCCACAATATTTCATGTTGAGAGTAACACCTATAATTTTTTTAACAAATATACATCGACAATCTCTTAGAATCTGTTTTAATTGCAAAAAAACATCTACGGTTCCTCGCAGGAACGATAAGGCTTCCCAGAGAATATTGCAGTGTACTAAAAGCAAGGACTTCTTGAAAAAATATATCAAATCATAATTGAAAATGACGTCAAGTCACTGCATACTTGAGCTTTAATGATGGGGAAAGTAACAAAAACACTTCATTTTAATCTGCATATAAAGATGTAGAATGCTAGTTTAAAACAAACGTGTTTTTATCATTTTTTCAAAAATCTAATACAGGTATATCTGAATAATTTAGATAATTTTGCATTATTACTCTTGTTTAGAGTCAGCATGTTCAAACTACGTACGGAAATATACGTTTGACATTTAACCTTTTTTATACCCGTGGACGGAGGCAGAATTGATTATATGTGTATAACATAGCCTGGATCAGGTTAATAATGAAGATTTATTTAATGTTTTTTGCGAAAATATGTAAGAGGGGTTTCAATTCTAACCGAATCCTGATTTGGGGAAAATATGTGTTGGCTTTGTTTTAAAACAGACGACAATATATAGCGGAAAATACCCTCAGATGTGTCGGTAAGTTGAAGTTAATGTGAAATAGTTTGTACCAAAGAAATAGTATAACTTTTCCCAAGCATATTTCGGGTTCACGAGGATTCAACGAGTTTATTCATGTGACAAGAAGTTAATAATAATTGTGTTAATAATAACCTGCACCGAGGCAATTTATGTGAATCATTCCAAAAAAGAAAAAAATGGCCGTCACGTGATCAATAAGGTTATGTGATATCGTAACAAATATGTTATTTTATAAATAGCCTAGAGAGCTCTCTATATGAATTAGGCGTTCTTAAGTACATAACTTAAAAATAAAACTGAAAATCAACTTTGCAATGCAGTGTTTCGTATAAATGCATTTTAAGGTGCGGGTAGCCTTAACAGTACTGCGCTAGATATCTGATATCTGAATCATAATATTCCATCGTTTTCATATTCATCTTACACAAGACTATAGTCCTGCTACACAGGGCATTACTTTTCACGTAAATATGGCTTAATTTTCATCTTTAAAATGAATTTTAACAGCTATACCGGATTCGAAATCTCCATAAAATCCTGACAAAGGTAGGTTGAAGGTTCTTGTAAATGTTCTACAAAGGCCCAATCTTAAAATCTGTTTAAAATATTAACGGCAGTGAGGAATAAACTTAAACAGAATATGCGTATTCAAGAAGTGGTATCAATGTTAATACTAAAAAAACTCTGTGGAACCATAAGAAAATTGAAATTGAAAAATGTTACCATTTTTTTAATAACATTAAAAAGTATGACTTGTAAAAAATGCATGAAATTATTCCCACAATAAATTAAGTTCACTGCTTTAATACTATTTTTTCAATAAAATGGAACTCGGAAATATATATCCCTTAATTGTTTTGTTTGTTTTGAACATGTTTCATTGTATAATTACTACGATAGTCGTTAGGTGCAAGGTAAATTAACATTTTCAGGCGGCCGCCAGTTATTATTGTGGGGGCGGCAAGATTTATTTTTGGCGGCCTCCATTTTAAAACAAAATTAAAGAAATAAATATTTTTAATTTATCATTTTGATTGTACACACAGGTAGTCTACAGTTGCTACTAAAAGATGCATGAATTCTGATTGACAATATCTATTTTTTTTTTCTTTTTTTTGAAGATCATGTTGTCCAAAAATATTTTGTGATTCAAATTTTTACCATTTGTACTCCGTTATAAGCAGTCTAATTTTTGTGCACTTTTGAAGCATTTTTACAATGGCAACATTAAAAAAAGAAAACACTTGTTTTGACCTTCATTTAGATATTTCGGTAAGTAATGTCTCTCATGCCCCGTCTCCCAGCTACTTCAACAAACAAAAGCGATTACAACTGATCATTAGGTCAGATGGCAGCTCGTGCGTAATTACACACTGAAATTTCATCGGATTCTTGCATGATTATAACAAGGAGCACATGGGTTATGTGTCCGGTCCATAACTTTACAAACTGTAGCGTTATGGTTTATATTTTTGTGTTTTCAAGATTTACCATATTGTTTTGGTTAAACATGAAAATATAAAAGCATAATGCTACATTGACTGCAGCTTTATTCCATGGCACCCGATCTCCGATATTTTTGTAGATCCTTGCAGATGTTTCTCTACTCGATTTGTATCCTTCAAATGGACTTTTGATCCATACTTAAGCAATATAAGATAAAACGCGCGACAAAAACTATAAGATCATTTTGCAGTCATATTGTTTGCTTACTTTGACTCTTTCAAGACGATAAAGGATATACCAAACGTACTCGCGTATGAGTCGTTTTTATGCAGTTATTTTGGAGTAGGAGCAGAGCAAATACGGACCTCCAAAACATCAGAGATGGGATCAGATGTCATAGAGTAGAGAAAAACCCCAGCCGACCAGTCAAACCCGCCGTGTGCCCCTTGTCTTGATCAAAGAATAGCGGAAAAAATCTGCTGTTGATTCAGTGTTTAAACAACAGATTAAAAATAAGTATGAAAAACGCCACTCAGCATTTGACTGAAGGATAAATTGTGTTTGCTTACGAGGTCATTGTATCTACCATAGAACTTAAGAAATGATGACTTCCATGGAGACTGCTGATATCTTGTTTCATCAACATGTTAGTCAATAATTAGCCACGTAATGAAAATTGTTCAAACGTTCTAACATGCTAGTGCGTATAGAATAAATTAAATAAATAAACAAATTAGATATATAAAATTCGCATGAAGGTAATGATGGTATATTGCTGCATAAGTAAGGGAAATTGACAATAGATCGTATATTGTTTAACGTCCCTTCGAGAATTTTTCACTCATAAGGAAATTGACAATAGAAAAGTTTACATCATCGCGTTTATCATAGAACTTAGTTGTTCGTAGTAGATTACCAACAATGTCTTTTTCAAGTAAAATATCAATGTATGAAACAGATGTACCAGGCTTTGTTATCTTTTATCTCAAGCTGACCAGGATATATAGTTTGGACATAGGAATAGAAATTTACATTGTTAATATTGAACATACGTCGTAGATATATCTAAATGTTGAAGGCCACAGCAAGTGTTTTCTTCTTCACACGCAAAAGATTTTGCACAAATTCTGCTTCATATGATCAAAACATATGTCTGCCAATAATGGATCGCATGGGTCATTGGAAACCATGAGAATTCTACTAGATTATTGGAAGGCCTCGTATCTAAAAATCACATAGATATTGTCAATCAGAAACTCAAGCATCTTTTTAAATCAACTTCAGAGTACTTGTGTGCAATCAGGATGTGTTTAAATAAGATAATTTTGCAAATGACCAATAACTAGGAAATGATACGAAAACTTAGGAGTTTCATTTTTATTGAAAAGAAAGCAATAAATAGTATCAAAAAGCCTGGACTTTAAATTATCGTAGGGAATGGTTGTGTATAAAGTTAAAAAGTCGTAAGTGTTTAAGCTGTTGATTTTGGTAAAATCCTGTGATTTCAAATTGTTCAAAAGTTCTTTCGAATTTTTTAGTATCCACATCTGATTCACACCACTTCTTGAATATATTGTTACACAGTACTCTTGAAGCTTTTCATTCACAACTGTCAGTCTTATAGTGAGGAGTAACGAAGGAGGCTTGTTTGAACATTTACCGGAATCTGCAATGAATCTTTGTTTGTAAGGATTTTTATGAAGTTTCGGAATCCATTCAGTAGTTCAAATTTAGTTTGGCTCTGTGGAATATTGAAAATATTTAAAACAGGCATATGATTTTGAAGAATTTCTTCCTTAGAAAGGGAAGTATGAGTATAAGTAGGATTACCACTTGTAGAATTAAATCCAAGTTCTTCTAAAATACAATTTATATAATGAGCCTTACAAACAAAAACAATGTTGTTACCTGGTTTGTCGACAGGGACCAGTACGTACTGATCATGTAATCTATCTAATTCTTTTTTTCACTTCTAAATTATTGAACACAGAAGGATAGATGGTTTTCATATTTCCCTTCAATCTTTTAATACGTGACTTTAACATGGATCTGATGAATTTAATCCATTCTGACAAGGTGTCAACGTCTTCTTGTTCGTATTTGGCCCATCGTGTGGGGTAATTTTTAACAGAATCCATAATATTTATGAAATTCCGACGCCAGTTGAAGGGTCGGGATTCCCTATATCTAGGACCTTTTGAAATAAGTGATCTTAGGTCCTTATTATTGCATATATTTACGTCACCTATAATGAGGTGTCTAGCAGGACTATAGTTATTGGGCGACGAAGAACATGAACATGATGGAGGATCATGTTACAGGTACTCGATATCTAGGTCACGTAATTTTGTTTTGTAATTCTATAGTTTTGAAGCAATGGTTGATGTATATCTGTAGGAAATACAAGGTGTAGTCTTAAACTTTAAAATATGTTTGAATATGACTGGACCCTTTTGTGGTTTAGAATTTTACTTATATTAACTGCGTCAATTTCTTTATTGGTATATTGAAGTTTCAGGAAAAGACGGATTGTTTTAGCCGCATTTTCTTCCGTAAAATGTAGTTCTAAAATGCCTATGAAATTGATTTGCAATATCCATAAAACATAATATATCTCAAAAAAGTTTTTCCGTTCTCAAGAAAATGATTTTTCCATTACATATTCTTTTGTGTAATTTTGATCCCCCTGGCCAAATGGGTCCCACTCTACCCATTGGGGTTATCATTTAAACAAATTTGAATATACACTACCTGGGGATGTTTCCATATAATATGACCAATCACGGGTTTGCTCTTCTAAAGAAGATTTTAGAAGCTTTTTATATGCATTCTTGTGGAAAAGATTGATCTCCATTGTAGCCGCACCCTACCCACAGGGGTAATGACTTTAACAAACTTTAATCTACACTACGTTAGGATGCTTCTTTTAAAATTTGACCAATTATGGGTTTGCTGTTCGTAAGAAGAAGAGTTTTAAGAATTTTCTAAGTTTTCTTGTGTATAATTTTGATTACCAGCTGTGTCCATACCCTACCTCTGGGGGTTGTGATTTAAACAAACATGAATTCACACCACCTGAGAATGTTTCCATAAAAATAAGACTAATCATGATTTTATAGTTCTTGAGAAGAAGATTGTTATCAATATTATCTTATACATTTCTACGTAAAACTTTGACCTCCATTGTGGCCCCACTCAGCAGTATATTGTTAATTATGGAAATGAATACTGTATACAGGGAAATTTTCGCCTCCATTTTATTTTCGCCCCTTTCGCCCTACCCTCATTTGGGCGAATTTAAAATGGGGCGAATTCAAAGAATACAGCATAATTTCTTCAATAAAACTATATGAGTGGGCGAATTTAAAACGGGACAAAATTGTTTGAATGTGTGAAAGGACGAAAATTACACGGGGTGAAAATAACCCTGTATACGGTATATGATTTAGGAAACATTTAGGAAAGAGATATATATTTTGTGACGTCATGGAAATAAGCAGCATGGCTCGCACAATCTACACGATATTTGAACGAACCCCGTATATTACACATCCTACCGTTGGGGTCATGATTTGAACAAACTAGAATGTACTGATGATCTTTTCAAATACGTCTCATCTTTTCTAGCGCAGCGTTAAAAAGATAACAAAATTTTTACTAATTTTTAATTCCCTCCCGTTGAAAGAGAGTATGGTCCTTTATTTAAATGAAACTTGAATCCTCTTTACCCAAGGATGCTTCATGGATACTTTGGTTGAAATTGACCCAGCGTGTCCGGAGACAAAGTCAAACGAGTAAAAGATTTACAGACGGACAGACAGACAGGCGGTTAAAGGGCAAAATGTGCTTAGAAAATCTCACCTCAGCTTTTAGCTTAGGCAAGGTTTAAAGTTTAAATGTATTCAAAAGGGCAGCTGTGTATTACCTACAAGTACAAAGCGACGCTCTTCAATCAGGTATATACGGAAGCCCAATAGTGCAAAACAAAAATAAATAAAGAAAAACGAAATTAATATATAAAGAGAAACGAAAATTAATATATAAAGAAAAACGAAATTATGATATAAACGGAAACGAAATTATCAAAAAAAGAAAAACAAAATTAATATATAAAGAAAACCGAAATAATTAAATAATTAAACGAAACTATTAAATAAATCAGTTCCTTTTTCTTTATTTAATGATTTTATTTATCTTTATACTAATTTCTGTTTTCTTTATATTTCAATTTCGTTTCTCTCTACTTAATTATTTCCTTTTTCTTTATTTAATAATTTCGTTTTCTACTTTTAATAATTTCGTTTTTCTTTATATATAAATTCCGTTTCTCGTTATCTATTTATTTCGTTTTTCAACTAGAAAACTGAAACTAAAATACAGAATTTAAATATATGCATGGTAAGGGCCTGCAGGTGTCGTAACAGTAAATCATGGCTGACGCAAAATAATCTTGGAATCTTCCCTTCCGATTCTGGCATTTTTATACGAGACTGGAGCTGAATTTTTTTATGAGATCAAAAACATGTAAACATCCTGTATTGACTAGATTTATTAAAATTTAGGGCGTGCTGATTTTTCTACATCTGTCAAGTGTGGGGAGTGATTAGGCCATGGACTACATTTTCAAACACCTGCTCGACTTCGACCGAAACAAACTTGTGTGCCTTGCAGCATGGCTATGTATTTTTTGGTATTAAAATCTTTATAAAGAATTGTTTTACAAGATCTGAAAAGGAAACTTCTGAGAAGTTTGTTTTGAATAAATTACAATTAATCCAACTTGCGCATTTTTGGTAAAAATATATAGCTATAGCTGGATGTAATATTGTTGTGCAACCTGAACCCATGAATCATTCCATAAAGCGCACATGCTATAAAGCATCACCTCGTAACTCTTTATGCCTTATATCGAAATTACAAATGTGTAGTGGAAATGAAAAATTAAAGATCATATAAATGTCAAATTACAAACGTAGAAAAAAATATGTACATACGGCCGAAAATTCCCATTTCTGTGAACAATTCATAAACTGTTCAATTTTGTTTATATGTTGTGTCATATCCCCACATCACTGTTGGAGTCTGTAAGCCTTGACTTAGCGAGGATGGCTGTTTCTGTATGCACAGAATTAATGACATTCCAATAAAGCTCATGAATCGCGAGAAGGTCATGAACAAGACCTTGAGTATCGTATTACTGAATTCCCTCGAACTTAACCTAGCGTCCTATCTGTGTACTATAAATCATAGGTTGTTGAAACTATAAAGAGAAAATTGATTGAATTATTTTGTGGGATTTGTTTTGTGCAAGTGTGGGCATTGTTTGGTCACAAATATAACTGATTTATAAATACATATTGAGAGTATGCCATTTAGAATATGTGAATCAAGTACTATAGTAGTAATGTAGTACCACTGACCCGAATAATACATATTGAGAGTTTGACATTCATTAAGACCAAGAAATCAGAAGTGGTTTGCTTTATTTCTAATATAGAAAGCAATCATTAAAATCTACTTATTGTAACCACTTTGGCTTGTTTTAAGTTTTGCAATTGTTATTAAACATTTAAACATTTTTTACAATGTCAAACAAACTCACAAAGTCAGATATTTCGTATTATTATACGTTTTTTTTGTAATGCATGTACTGTAAAGCCATGGGGATTACATACATTAAAAATTCAACATTACATGTTGTAAATAACGTAATATTAACCTTCATGTTTATCTTAAATATTTGTGAAATTTATTAGGATAATCTCTTTAATGTTTCATGTCCAAAGTGATTATTAATGTGTCCAGATTCATCATTTGCTGATCATTAGACCTTTCGAGCAGAGGATTTGAGAAAGCTAATGTAAACCAATTTTAACGTCAACTTCTCACCGAATTAATCACTGGCCAAATTATGAGACTGGCTTAAGTTCACATTCATCGTGTAATTGTAAAATAAAAACATAAATCTAAGCATATTACTATTAGATACCAAAGGTTAAATTCTCCCCATTCAATTATTGTAATGGTTATTCATTCGATTTGAGAGTCGGTGAGTGCAAAGGCAAACATCACACTTGTAAATTGTCAAAACAAAATCAAGGCTAACAAACGCGTGCGCTAATGATTTATGGGTTCAGGCCTTACCTTGCATATCTCAAAATTCCTTATTTTCGTTTCAGTTTTCTAATTGAAAAACGAAACAAATATATATAAAGAAAAACGAAATTATTAAAAGTAGAAAACGAAATTATTAAATAAAGAAAAACGAAATCATTAAATAAAGAAAAACAAAATGATCTATTTAATAATTTCGTTTTTCTTTATATATTTATTCCGTGTTTCTTTATATATTAATTTCGTTTTTCTTTATATATTAATTTTGTTTTTCTTTATTTAATAATTTCGTTTTCCTTTATTTAATAATTTTGTTTTTCTTATATATTAATTTCGTTTCTCTTTCTTTAATAATTTTGTTTCTCTTCATCTAATATTTTCGTTTTTTTCTTTATATATTTTTGGTTTACACTATTGGGCTTCCGTAGGTAAAACCAATTTTAAGGCTATTTATATCAGAGGCACTTAGACATATATATATCCTAAAATCAAAATGTCGTTTCAGCATTAAATTGCCCCTAAACTGTGTAATCAATTATCCTAAACTGTATAATCAATCATAACATGTAATTAAATTCATTCTAGAGTAATATAGATATGGTAACAAGGACATGCATCGACCTGCTTACAAAACTATGTCCACCGTGTTATCAACCTTCCTTCCTGCTTTATGTGCGTGGATTTTAAAACGAAAGTAGAAAAGGGTGTTAATTTATTCGTCATTTTTTTCTTAGAGCTGTTTAAAATTAAATGTATATTTTTAAAGAAAATTTTATTTGAGGGATTCTTACCATGGAGATAACTAATCTTTTTGTGGATACATCTTCCCGATTTTGGGAACCAGCCAACTTTTTTTCTATCTATAAGTGGCGGATCTAGGAATTGGGCAATATTAAATCTTTATAGAATGAGATAGGATTAAAGAATCTATTTGTTTTGTTTTTACCAACTTGTACATGCAGTTACCTAGTTTTATTATATTTGTGGATGAAATACTGTAAACTCAATGTCTAACAATAAACAATCAATTCTTTTTTCTGTTTCTCGACATAGCTCTTAAGATACATACTTTCTTTTGACAACCAACATTTCTGTTAGAAAGTATAATTTATATTAAATAGTCAATTGTCATTTTTGGAGAAAAAAACAGATAAATTGTCGGAAGAAAAAGTTTTTGCTCGTATAAATCAAGATGTTTTGCAATCTGTGACATACTGACAAAGAAATGTCTTTGTTGCCTGTAATCGCAACAAAATAGTATTAAAAGCGAGTCTAGGAGAAAATCATGCAAAATTAAAAAAATTGTTACACAAGTCACATTTTAAAAAGATGATTTTAAATACATAATTTTGAAGAGAATGGACCTATATATGTATTGTTAGAAAATTTTCAACAAAGGTGCCCTCCTTATCGAGATAGCCCCGAATCTATTTATAGCCCACTGGTGGTTGGGATTTTCAAGGAAAAATAGCACTTTTATAAGCCCTTCTAAAAAAATAAAATAAAACAATGAGTTTGAAAAATTTTGTGTTCTATGTTGAATTAATAAGTATAACTTTTTTTTTATAGTTGAATTTTGTTTACCAGATCTTATTCATTTGGGAAATTCAAAAGGTTTTATTAGAGAAAATTCACTTGACTTTTATATCTCTATGAGACACGCAGTGCTGTGTTTGATACAACGGTTGAACTTTTGTTTATAATTATCTATCTGATTTAATGAGTTATTTTACACAACATTTTTCAAGGAATTTCTTGGATTTACAATGAATCTCAAGATATACACTTTTGAATCTCTTTATTTTTTACCGGAATTATCTATCTTTTCGAACTCTTCAGTGCATGAAGAGTAAAAAATTCATTATTTACATGGAGGGAAAATGGCAGCGATGTCGTCGGGTATGTTTGATTTTGGTGAAGATTGTGAAGAAACAGCGATTTATTATTTGAAAGACTGTGTTAAACAAACCTTTTACCACCTCAGATGTTTGGACTCTAACTTTAAGGGTACAGATATGCATTTTTTTCAATGGGTCTAGCTTTCCAGTCTGTTTATATATTTTTTCAGAGAGGTACAGTTCTGCAGCTACAATAGGTTGGGACCACTCACCCAAATGGGATATAATAGTCTGTTTGGAATATAATATTCTAAATGGATATAAAATGTGCAGTGCAAGAAATGAAAATTGCAAAAAATTGCCAAAGTAATAAAAATGATCATTTTTTACACTGTAAATTTACATCCCATTTAGGATGTTATATCCCAAATGGACTATTATATCATTATTTGGGCATATGGTTTTGACCTTCAACAATAGAAACACAAAATATTATGTTTTACTGAAGAACATGAATACGTAGACTACTATTAGTAGGCCTATATTATTCCCCATATATAGTCACTTGTTTCCGAGTTTTATTGACCCCTGACCCCAGGACAGAAAAGTGGGTATGAGAGCCCTGTTACAAATGTTTATCATGCAAGCACCACGTACATTGATCTTATTAAGAAGAAGTAAATAATATTTGGTCAATGCCCTAAATGAGCATTTTGCATGTATTCATAAAAATTATTACATTGTGACATCAAATATATTGCAGTGTTATGACATGTGACAAAAGATTAAATGATTACTACCTTAAAATAAATACAATATTTTGGCTCAGATTAAAATGTTAATATAAATCAGACCATTTTTAGTCAGACAATAGGAAGATCTAAATTGTTCAAATCATGACCTCAGGGGGTTAGACGGGTCCACAAAGGGGAATCGAAGATTTACATAGAAATATAAAGGAAAAATCTTTGAAGATCTTCTCAAGAACCACTGGGCCAGAAAAGATGAATCTCATGTGGAATCATCCTCAGATAGTGTAAATTCAAGCTTGTTCAAAACATGACCCCAGGGCTAGGGTTGGGCCAAAATGGCTGACCAAAGGTTTACATAGGACTATATATATAGTGGATTCTTTTAAAATCTTCTTATCAAGTACTTAAAAGCCATGATTAGTAATATTTATATGGAATCATCCTCAGAAAATGTAGATTCAAGTTCGTTCATATCATGATCCCTCGGGGTGTTGAAATTTAACCCCTCCCCCACCTCACTTTCAGTTCTGATCTGATATGTGCTTTTTCCTACCCGATGTGCTCAGGTGAGCGCTGTGGCCCCTGGGTCTCTTGTTTTTTTTTGTTAGTTGGAGTTGGAAGTGGAGTGTGTGTAGATTGACCAAATTATGCATGCCAAACAAGACATGTATTGATAATGGGTTTGTCCCTTATTATATACAGGTCCATGTTTGCCCTGCTCCTGATTTGTATTTTTTGAATGGACTTTTGAGCTTGAATACTGTTTGTTATCTCCATATATTTTCTTTTTACTTAGACAGTTTGAGCAGCTGACCAATTCAACCAGTGCCTCAATACCTCCACTTATTCTTGGAGATTGCACTGAAGTCAACTGTATGATGTTTATGAATGGTTTCATTAAACTTTCAGACTATGCAAAATCATTAATTAGGAAAAAATCTTGCATTTTTCTATCAAAATTTGTCTGTCATGTGTAGATTCTAAATTTTACAATTCATGACCCCTGAGGGGGTGGGGTGGGGGGTGCACAATATAAATTTGCAGGGGGAAAAATCTGGTTAAGAACAGCATCATGGCTAAAGTTCCTGGCCAAAGGGTGAGCGATGTGGCCCATAGTCCTCTTTTTTTGTGATTACTAATAATTTTATATAAAGTTTAAATACATCATAAGAAGAATTTTCTACAATTTCAAATGTCAACAACAATGCTAATCCTGCTGAAGAAACTTCAGGCAGCAGAACAGTTTGACAGTGTCAAAGCAATAGCCAATGAACTTACAGAATAAAAGGGCTGTGACTGAAACTCATTAAGTTCAATATTTTTGTACCGGTAGTTTTACTTATAATGTTTATATAAATAATACATGTACTCAGATGTGCATCCTCAATATAATTACATTTAATTCATTGACATTTATTCTTATTGGGATTGATGAACTTCGAGGGTTTCAACAAACTATATCATTTTGTTGAGATATTACTTCATTGACATACTGTGTGTTTTTCAATAGAATGAAAGTATATCTTTTCCCATTTCTTTTATTTGTTTTCAAACATGATACATGTACTTGCGTAAAATAATTTTTTCAGAATGTTAATGTAGAATTTTGAATGTTTTTTCTTTTTCTATAAACCTTCCAAACAGTTTTATAGATTTACAGACACATAATTATATATAATATTGCCTGTACTTAAATTTATTGCAAGGTGGTTAAGTAAATTCATTCACATTCAAATCATGTTGTCTTAAAGGACAGAAACAATACAAGTAGTTAATGGTATGAAAATTGCATCAATTCTTGTTTTAATTTTTTAGCAATTTTGGCCTTCTGCTTCAAAGGATTATTGGAAGTTTAAAATTATTAAATGTGGTCTTATAAGTACATTTCAACCCGATGTCCTTCAAATTTCCAAACATACATGTCTGTGGAGCTCATTACTTCATCAATCATCATACTCTCCTTCGACTATACTTACTGAAGATATTTGATATTCAAAGTATATTTAAAAACAGATGTGTAAATCATATCGTAATAGAATACTTTTATGCGCCTGGATACATAGACACGGGTCGTATATTATTTTGTCCTATTTATTTATCTGTTTGTCTGATTATCTGTTTTTCTGTTGTCAACTTTAACCTTTGCCATAACTTTTGACCTTGTGACCTTGACCTATATATTAAAAATAACTTTTTAGAACTTTGTTGCCAAAGGGTGCATAGTGTTTCACAAAAACATCTTATTTTAAATGAATCATCTTTAAAATATTAGTGAATATACTCCCTCCAAACCCTTTGAGGTTTGAAAATAAGCAAAAATAATGGTATATTAGCGTAATCTTTTCAGAATGTTGTAATTGATTCAAAATCAATATTTTTTATACTAGGTGTAGATTATTATGTTCATTTTACAAGATATGTTATAAATATTTAGATTTGTAATATTAAAGAACTAGGTCTAATATGGGCTGAAATTGGCCTTGTTGATTTAAAAATTGGTAAAAGTTTGTTTTCATCATAACTTTGTTATATTTTATTATCCGAAAAATTCCAATTTTTGGTAAAAACACTATATAATGACCTTTCAAGAAACAAATAAAAAATTTCTCTCTTTACTGTGTATCAGGTGTTATGGCTCTTAAAATTTAGGCAAGAAAAATCTATTTTTAGAACATCTTGAGATAATTGGAGTTGTCTCTAGCTCAAAGTTTAACAAATTTAAAAGTTTAATAATGGAAATGATTAACACTGTTCATATGTGTATAAAATACACCATATCTTTTCCCAGAAATTTGTTTGTAATAAAGTAAAGCTGTAAAGGTAACTGGTATTTTTCATGTGTTTTATAACATTATGACCATTTGCCAATGACAAACATAGATAGTGCTCATGCACACTATGCTAATCAGCAGATTTTGACCAAATTTACAGAAAAGTCTAACAATGCCTTGAAATGAATAAATATAATAATGGGAAGTGAAATTGAGAACCTAACATGAATAGCTCTCTGCATGGTTTTCTCATAGACTCCCTCTTAAAAAGAAATTCAATTTAAAAATAAAGGATCTTA